TAACTGCAGGTCCTGTCAATCTGGCTGGCAGGGCAGAGGCAACAGGGGTACCAAGAGGAGGCTTCTCCCGGACCTCAAGACAGAATTCACCAGGCAAAGGGGAAGTGATAGTTAAAACAGCCATTGCCGTGTCCCCGAAGATCCTACGCGCAGAGCACTAAATTGTCACTTGTTTTTCTCTCATGGAATCCTAACACCCATGCTGCAAGACAAATATTGGCTGTTTTAGAGATGAGGCTCAGAGAGGCTAAGTAAATTTCTGGAAGCCACACAGCTCCACTGAGCCTTTGGTCTTTTGGATTCCGAGCTCACCTTACTCTGCTACCTGTATCTGCCATCACAGGCTGGAAAGCAACCTGGGAAATGACGATCTCTTATGTTGTCACAAGAAATGTGGGAGAGACTCACGCCCTGGAGATAACAGCAATGGTATCACGGAGAAAGAAGAGGGGGACCGCGAGAGGTAATTCGTAATTGATCCTACCGTGAGGCTCACATGCCACCCTGTTTCCCCCAACAGGAGTTCTGTGCAAACACAAATCAAAGCATCCAACTGCACTTCGGGGGATGGAGAGATGGGGCCCTATACAGCCCCCGGAAATGGACAGAAGGAACCCAGAAAACCCTGAGCAGGCCCATGTAAATGCTGAGGTTGAAACGCTGCCAGACTCGCTGAGCAACTGGGGCTGTAAGCTAAGGAGCACGCGCAGGACGGGTCTGGGGCTGCAGGGGATTGCCACTAACCTCAGCAGGAAGGCAGGGCCTGCCCCGCCTGGAACCAGCTGGCAGCTGCCTGGGGGCCCCTGGACCTGGAATCCTTGGCCTCTAAGCCAGCCTCCTGCAGGACGCCGCCCCACGCCCCTCACCCCCTGCTCAGCCACCTCCCAACGCTGCACTCCGTCACCTCCATTTTAGAGTTGGGGAAACTGAGGCTTGAGGGGCAAATCCTGGCCACTGTGACAGCAGGGGAAGTCGCTGGGGATTCTAGAAAAGACTGTCCTTAGCCAGGCGTGATGGCGCACACCTGTAATCCCAGCGGCTGGGGAGGCTGAGGCAGGAGGATCGCGAGTTCAAAGCCAGCCTCAGCAAAAGTGAGGTGCTAAGCAACTCAGTGAGACCCTGTCTCTAAATAAAACACAAAATAAGGCTGGGGATGTAGCTCAGTGGTCAGTGTCCCTGAGTTCAATCCTGGATACATGTCATTTCTCTATGACAGAGAAAAATGGGTCCCACTTTTTTGCTTCCTTGTTTGGAAAACCGTGGCATGAGACACGGTGCATGGAGCCTTTGCTGCCCTTCTGTGACTTGGAGGAATATCATGGAAGACCCACACGGGATGGTGGAGAGTAAAGTGAAAGAGTCCAAAGTCCCAAGGGAGACCAGTGAGGAGGCTGCCACGAACAAGATGCCCATGTAGTAGAACACAGCAAAAAGACGTAATAAGATGCACCCCCACGTGACCAGGGAGCGGTGGTCATGCTTGACTATCACCCTTCCTCTCCTTGCCCAGCCAGCAGCCCTGAGGCCGCAGAAAGAGGGTGCCCCCCCATTCTAGCTCAGCTATGAGTTACTGATGAGAAAGAAAAGTGCAGTAGCCCCTCTTTCTTTAACAAATAATAATTGCTTAGCAATTGTAAGTAAGATCTGAAATAGGGAATTTCTCTGGGCATGGCAGTGCACACCTGTAATCCCAGAGGCTACGGAGGCTGAGGCAGGAGGATCACCAGTTCAAGGCCAGCCTTAGCAACTTAGCGAGGTCCTAAGCAACTTAGCTAGACCCTGTCTCAAAAGAAAAAATCAAAAGGGCTGGGGTATGGCTCAGTGGTTAAGCACCCCGAGGTTCCATCCCCAGTACCAAAAAAAAAATTATCTAAAAGAATGGAAATGAAAAGTTGTAATTAACTGTAATGAACAAGGTTCCTGCTGGCCAGCTTTGCAGGCGCAGGGATGGCTCATGACACACACGTACACTCTGACGAGTCGTCTGTCCTCTGTCCTTACCCTAAGGGAAGAAGTCCCTGAAAGGCCGCAACACCCACACTGAAGACCCCTGTGCTGCAGGGACATCACTCAGATCACCGCTAAGACCTGAGACAGCAACTGTGATAGTTCACGGTGGCTTGAAAATGTTCCCGTCCAGCTCAGAGATTCAGGAGTCAGCTTGCCCCCTTTCAGACATGCCCCCCGTAGCAGACATGACTACATTGCAAAAGTATAAGAACTTCGACATGAACCTGGGGCATTAGGAGAGCCAGCCCACCATCCCACTTATTCTGAGGGCTTTCAGTAAAGGGAAACCTGACAGTTCATCTCCTAAACCCAAATGCCACGCGATGGTGTGTGTGTAGACACACACGTGTACCTGGGTGTTCTTTTTGGTCTCCACCCTGGTAACTGGCTTGGGGAGCATCCAGCACATTAATAATGGGATGGCAGCTAAAGGCCCATATGGCTGAACTCTAGATACACAGCCCTCTTGCTGTGCTGGGGATGGAACCCAGGACCTTGCACATGCTGGGTGAGCACCCCACCCCTGAGCCACATCCCCAGCTCTCTTTCCTTTTTTTGAGATGGAGTCTTGCTTAATTGTGCAGGCTGCCATTGAACTTGGGATCCTCCTGCCTCAGCCCCACGGGGCCTCTGGTATTACAGGGGTGCACCACAGCGCCCAGCAGACATACCCAACTCGTCTCTGTCTCGACTCCGGAGACAGTATTCCTTTGTTAAAGTCAAATTCTAGATCTTGGAAAGACTTAGTAGCAAGCTGGGCAGGAGTCAGAACCCTGTAAGGGACGTGTGGCCTCCCTGCCCAGTGTCTATCCTCCCGGGCCAGCAGCTGGCTTTCCCACTGGGAGAGCAGGACAGCCACTCCTCCCATGGAGCCTGGCCAGAGCCTTCCCCATCAGGGTCGGAGAAATCAGACTCCGAAGACCTCCCTCCTCAGAAGCTGCTCACAGGATCAAGAGACTCTGACCGGCTAATCGGAAGCTCCCTGCTCCTGGGGACTAAGGGGGTCTCCAGGCTGAAAAGGATGGGGGTCAACATCTTTTTCTTCATTATGGATCCACTGGTCCTGCCTCCAGCACAGTGTTTAAAAGCAGCCCTCTTGCTTAAAATTTAAAATGGACATCTCCCTCTCCATCTCTAGCCATTCCTCTTGCAGAACGAGCTGCAGAAAAACACTGCATCTAAGGACCCCAAGTTAAGAATTCTACTATTGCAGCTGGGTGTGATGGCGCGTGCCTGTAATCCCAACAATTTGGGAGGCTGAAGCAGGAGGATGGAAGGTTTGAAGCCAGCCTCACAACTTTGCCAGGCCTGAAGCAACTTACCAAGACCCTGTCTTAAAATATAAAAAGGGCTAGGGATGTGGCTCAGTGGTTAAGTGCCCCTGGATTCAACCCGGGTACCAAAAAATAAAACAAACAACGACCCTACTATTAGCCAGCAGAGTGGTGCGTGCCTATAATCCCAGTGACTCAGGAGGCTGGAGGATGAGGATCACAAGTAAGAGGCTAGCCTGGACAACTTAGTGAGAATAAGAGATCCTGTCTCAAAATAAAAAGAGCTGGGATGTAGCTCAGTGGTAGAGCAGCCCTGGGTTCAATCTCTGGTACCAGGAGAGGGGGGAAAAACTCTGCTATATTTATAAAGGATGAAACAGAAAATCACTACCTGGCAAACACCATAGTAATCATCGTTGCAAGCCAATTTCTTACAAAAACACCCTGTACCCTCTAGACAGAGGCCCTCTGGTTCTGTTTCTCTGAATAACTGCCTAAAACGGACCCCGTGTAAAAATGCCCTGTTAGCGGGGACACCAGCTCAAAGGTGCAGAGATTTGGAGAGAGGTCCCAGGCAGAGATGGGGAAGGGCCCTCAGGTAGAGGCTCCAGGCTGGACAGGTTGAGGGGAGAAAGGTCAGGGGCAGCCAGTCCAGAAGGTGGAAGTGGAGCTGGAGGGACAGAGGATGGGGGAGGAAGGTGAGGTAGCTGCTCCGAGGCCCTGGTGGTGAAGTCTCTCTGCAGATGCTGAGGGCTGCAGAGTGCAGTGACTCAGGACTGGGCTTTGGGACAGAACTGGTGGGACAGTGGGAGGTGAGAACGAGAGGGTCAGGGCTTGAAGGCTTCCAGGGAGGGGATAGGGCTGTGGGGGCAGGGCTGTGAGGGTAGGGCAGTGAAGGTGGGGCTGGTGGGGGGCGGGGCTTGAGGGGCTGTGAGGGTGGGGCTGTGAGGATGGGACTGAGGGGCGTGGCTATGGGAGGTGGGCTGTGAGGTGGGGCTGTGAATGGTGGGGCTGGTGAGGGGCGGGGCTTGAGGGGCGTGAGTGCTGAGGCTGAGGGCGGGGCTGAGAAGGTGGGACTGAGGGGCGTGGCTATGAGAGGTGGGCTGTGAGGGCGGAGCTGTGAGGGGTGGGGCTTGAGGGGCTATAAGGGGCGGGGCTTGAGGGGCTATGAGGGGCGGGGCTTGAGGGGCAGTGAATGGTGAGGCTGAGGGCGGAGCTATGGGTGGGCTGTGAGGTGGGGCTGTAAGGGCAGGGTAGTGAGGGCGGGGCTTGAGGGGCTGTGAGTGCTGAGGCTGAGGGTGGGGCTGTGAGAGGCAGAGCTTGCCGGGGCCAGAGGGCGGGGCTAAAGTCTGGCATATCCCTATATCCTAGTCGGGAGCCCAACGCTAACTGGTTCCCTCTTCACCCCACCTGGCTCCTCCTTGTTCCCTTGATCCCTGTCTACACTCATCTGTGGAGGTCTCTGCCAGTCAGACACCCACTGAGTTGTGAGGGCCTGTCTCGGTGTTCCATTCACCTTTTGTGAGCGCGCGCACACACACACACACACACTCATACTCACACACACCCTGCACACAGAAGGTGCGCCATAAACAGGTTAAACTCTCATCTCTAGGATTAATCCAGCCTCCCACAGAGCCTCCCCCAGAGCCGTGCTGGGGCTGGATTCATTCTTAAGGACCGAAAGGGCGGAGCAGTCCAGTCCAGGGCCTTTACCTCACGAGGTTGGCGCAGGGCCCAGGCCACCGGCAGCTCTGGTACACACGCTGGACCACTGTCTCCGAGCCATTCTGCACCTGGCAGGACACCGTCCGGGTCACCGTGTGATGACACCAGTGCCTGTGGAGAGAGCAGAAGTCGCGTCAGCCCTACCTGTTCCTGGGGCACTGCCACAGTTCAAAGGTTGTGCTGGAGGAAGAGGGTCCCCTCACGAACTTGGAGCACCCACTTTTCTCGGATCAGGGGCCCACGGAGACTCTCTGCCCAAGTCTGGGGGGAAGGGACAGTACCCACGCCATTTGGCCTCCGAGCACTGGCATCATTTTAGCCACTGAAGACACTGTGAAAAAGACTCAGCCACCGCCCTGACATCTGGGGCAGGGGAGGACAGGTGACAAGGGGAACGGAGCCACCAGAATCCAGGTACAGGTCCATCCAGGGAGCTGTGGGAGCAGAGCAGGGGTGGTCCCAGGAAGGGCCACCAGCTGAGCACTGAAAGATGAGTTAGATGCTTGGGAGCCATGAGGGAGCTGACATTAGCAGAAGAAGGAGGGGATGGGTGGGAACACCATATGAGAAACCAAGGCGTGTCCAGGGGCCTGTGTGCAACTAGAAGTGGCCAGAAGGCTGAAGGGAAGGACGGGCCAGGGAAAGGGAGAAGCTCCAGGCTAATATGGCTCTTCTCAGGAAGTCAGTGGGGAGCCACTGAAGGTTCTAAGCAGGAAAGGACTGCTGCAGTGTGGGCAGCAGAGGTGCAGGGATAGGGCACAGATGCACACCATATGGGCACTGAATCAAGATGGCCAGCAGGCCCACCCCTCCCACCATCACCAGATCCTGGAAACTTAACAGTAGAAAAAATACCCAGAATAAAGTTGGAAAACAAGAAGCCCTAGACCAGAATACCTGAGGAGTACTTTAGAGATAGAAAGCAAGTGGAAGTAATTTGGAGCAGAGCCAGGAACACGCAGGAAAGAGGCCTGGGGCTCAAGTGGGAGCAACTTAGGAGCAGCAGATAAGGGCAACACCCTAGGGTGGCTGCAGGATGGATTGGTTAGGGGAGACAGCCAGTTAGGGAGGACTCAGGTAACCCCCCTGCTGCTATAAAGATTCAGGCATTGGATTCACCTGTCCACTGGCAGGTGTGGTCAGAACAGGTGCCTCACAAGCTGGTGACCTCCAGGGACACGTTTAAGGTCAGACCACTGAATTCTTGCATATTCTTTCCCCATTCTTCTTTGGCAAAAGCCAAAGTCTCAGTAAACAGAGACAAACCCATGGAAATTATCTGATAAAAAAATTTAAAAAGTCTAACACCATGAGAGAAAGGCACCAACTCAACAGGCAATAAAATCACACCTCTAGAAAAAAAAGAATTAATAAAAATATATGGAGACAAATTTTACAAGCATAATTAATGTCCTCCAAGAGATGAGAGCATGCCACTCATAAAAATTGTGGAATAAAATAAATTTGATCTCTTAGAAATGGAATGTATGACCATGAAAATAAAACCTCCATGGATGGATGGAAGAATAGAATGGAGGGAAGGAAGGAGGTCCTGAGGAGCTTCAAGTCTGAGCTGTGAACTTTCCCAGGAGGCCCTGCAAAGGCACAAAGGGACAGACAATGTAAGGGGAAAGGGGAGGGATCTAGGAATCTAAAGTCAGGCAAGTGCCAACACCTACTGATTAGTAGCCCCATAAGAGCAGAGCAGTGACAAAGAGAAGCAGACATATGAAAAAGTAGCAAAGGAAATGTCCCAGAGCTGAAGAAAGGCACCAGTTCCTAATTCAAAAGGGCCCACTGAGTGGTATGTGCTGAAATTTCAGAACAATCAGGATGAAGAGAAAATGCTAAATGCCACAGAAAGCCAAGAAAAAACAAACTACTTACAGTAAATTTCAATAAGATTTTAAAATCAGCAACATCAGATTCAAGAATATGGTGACAAAATTTTCTCAAAGTCCTAAGGGGAAATATTTAGGATCCATAATTTTATACCCAGCCAAACTACTCTCAGGGCCAAAGGCCAAATAAAGATTTCAGATGTGTAAAGACTTAGAAAGTTTTACCAGTTACCCCTTATGAAAGAATCACTAGAGGAGGTATCCCAACAAAAATAAGTAAATAAATAAAGGACATAGAAAAAAACATATTAAAAGAGTAGTTACGGGCAAAGAAACAATAATGAGATTTAGTAATAGCCTCGCACTAAAACAAAAGTCATTTCAACATGGAAGATGGCAAAGAGGAGAAGTTATAAAGGAATTAAAATTGCAAATATTTTTTTCATGTTGAAGGAGAGGATATAGAAGTTGTGCCACTTTAAGTGTAATAAAAAAATACATACAATTAAATATGTTTTGAATTTAAAGATAAATACTAGGAAGCAGAGAATTAAAATGTAAAAATGCAAGCCATCCCGCATGAAAAGGAAAATAAGGAGTAAAACAAAAGCTGATCAATCCACAAAATGCTAGGAAATAAAAAGTAAGAAGCAAGAAATAACATACTAATTAGAAGACAGACAGGAAAATGAGAGAAGAAATGAATTAATAAAAAGAAAGCAAAAATTGGGGTTGTGATTCAGTGGTAGAGCGGTTTGTTCCCCAGCACCACATAAAAATGAATAAATAAGGGTATTGTGTCCATCTACAACTAAAAAAATTTTTTTAAAAAGGAAGCAAAAATTAATTAAATAGATCATATTAAAAATAAATCAACAGAATCCAAACACAGACTTTTTGCAAAAAAAAAAAAATCTTATCAACAAAGCTTAGACAATTCTTAAGGAGAAAAAAAAGTCATAAACATAAATAACAAATTTATAGATATTAAAAATTATAAATAAATATTAGGTATGATCTTTCATCAAAATTTGTCAAAAATCTTGGACAATTTTCTAAGATATCCTCCCAATACTGGCAAAGTGAAAAAATGTCCCAAAAGAAAAAGGAAAAGTAGTCCAAAGTCCACCCTCCCCCACCAAAGTCACCAGGAGACCAAGTTCAAAACCCAGTTTTGCTACCAGCTTGCTGGGGCAATGGGATGAGTCCTTTTCTGAACTTCAGTCTTACACACCGCACACGCACCTCTCAATGTTGCAGCCAGGACTAATTGAACACATCCAGGTCAGCGGAAACCATGCAGGGTGATGTGACTGCAAGGATCATAACTGACTGGCTGGCCACTAAACCCCACAATGTCAGTAATAATCGAGGGATTGTCCTTTCCTATTTTGCAGATGGGAATAGAAAGTCTGTGTGGTTATCCATCAGCAGGGCTGCAGCTCAAACCCAGGCTGCCCTGAGAAAGAAATTCAGCCCTCCCGCCCAGGGTCCCACCTACCCAATACAAACCATCAATCTTGCCTCTTCCTGTAGCCCAGAGAGACATCCTGAAACTGTGTGGCCCTTCCTTCCTCTCGGGCTCTGTATGGGCACTTACATGTGTTTCAGAGACAGAGGTGCAATTCTCTTTGGGATAAGCTACCATCCCATCCAAGGATAAGCGCTCCACCCTGATATCCACATCCCAGCCCTGGGTTTTTGGAATAGACAGAGAGTCCCGCCATCTCTGAATTGTACTGGGTCAGAGCTTTCTATGGGGAAATGAGCTGTGAATTGGAAAAGCCTTCTCCAAAGCCTCCAATCACCATCTCTAGACATCTGATCTCTCTCTTTTTTTTAATATTTATTTTTTAAGTGTAGATGGACACAACACAATACCTTTTTTTTTTTTAATGTGGTGCTGAGGATAAAACCCGGGCCCCGCCCATGCTAGGCGAGGGCTCTATCGATGAGCCACAATCCCAGCCCGACATCTGATCTCTTAATGGGCTATAAATGGCTTCTGGTAATCCAGACCTGGCCAAACAATGAAGACTGTAAAGAGAGGCATGGAGATAGGGTTCTGGGCCTGTCCCGATGGAACTCGAAACCCACTTCATCTCAGGATCCCGTGGTCATGGGACCAATATGGCCTACTTCCTAGGGTCCCCATGTCCTGTGTCTTCTGTTTGCTGAGTGGCATCATGTCACCGCTCACCGCACGCCTGGACCCTGACCTTGGTGATAGGCAAACAGGAGTCATTGGGCTACAGCCTAAATGCAGGTGGAAAGGGGTTCAGCGGGAGGGGTACAGCCCTTTTCCGACCCCCCCCCAGCCCAGGCACACAGAATTTGGGGGTGTCAGGCATGGTCCTCAAACATGGGCAAATTCTTGGCAGGCTCATCAGGATAGGAAGGGACTGGCGTTTTCTCTGGGTCTCATCTGAGCGATGTTTCTCTGTCAATTCCCCCTGTTCCACAGCCCAGCTCTCATGGAGGGTCCAGGACCCAGGGACCTCCACCCTTGGGGCTCAGGCTAAGACCTCCCTAAGCCTGTGCTTCCCTCTGAGCTTCTCTTTGGGGTCTGATCTCATGTGTCCCCTTCCACCCAGGGACCCTGAGCCCTGAGTCTGAGCCCACCGGCCCCTGTTTCCTCAGTCCAAGCTCTGCCCCCACGGTGGATCACCTCAGTGTTTCCCCTTGAACCCCAATGTGTGTGCCTGGACAGTGGTCATGCATCATCAGAGCCCTTAGGACATACCAGGACACACAATTGCTGTTGGTGCTCTACTGAACTCATCATATTCAGCCCCAGCCGGCTTCTCCAGCATACTAATTCCCCATGCCCTTAGAGAAACCCCCAGGGGCAAGGAAACACCCCAGGCTCCACCTTCTCTCTCCTAGTCATGCCCCCATGCTGGGAAAATCGACTCCTGACCTTCTGAGTCCCTTTCTTTCCTGGACAACCAGCCTCAGCCCTCCTGGTCTCCCACCTCTTGGTGTCTCTCCCTGCAAGTTCCTCTACCTGCCACCAGGGAGCGCCATGCAGAGCTCAAACCTGGCCCCACCCTGGGCTCCCTCACCTCTCCACTCTCCACATCCACAAGGGAAATGCCTGCTCCGGCCCACTTCCAGCCTGCTCCGTCTGGCCATTTCCATTGTCCCCTTGTACCCTGGAAGGTCTTTCACTTTCTTCTGTTTGGTCAAGTCTCACTCATCCTACCAGTCTCCACCCAGGCTCCTTCCCCTCCTGGATACCTTCCCAGCCAGGAAAAGGCTCCCATGTCA